GTTTTTGTTGCATTTTGTTTCCTAACCACTATTTAGGAAACATAGTATCAGAAATAAATTCTTTGTAACACCCAGTGTGCCATATTGGTTCTTAACTGTAGTATGATGTGTGTCTACCTTGGCAAGTATTAGAAGAGGCTATATTTTTTTGAACTAAGGACTGAAGAATCAGCACCATTTTTCATAGGGGAACAGAGGCACTGGCTTGCGAGGGTGATATGTGTGGGGGGGGGATGTCTCTCGTGTGATGTCGCAACGTCTAATATGTGAGCATTGCTCCTTCCTTCCAAAGCCGGGCAGAAGCTTTCCAGGCTTTGGGAAGGTAGTGCCAGGCCTCTGAGAGGATGCTAGAGCCCTGCTGTCTCCTTCCCAAAGCTGGGTGGGCTTTGGGAAGGTGGCATAAAGGCTCTTGGACCCTTTAAGGAACTAACCTAGCCCCCCTAGTCCACTGACCGCACACCACTGTTGGCTACACTCCTGTATGACACAAATCTTTGCTGTTCCCTGTTATGCACGTCAGCAATGGTTTTCCACAGTGCCCTCAACTTTTTATACACCTCAGTGATGTCTGAACTAAGGCAGCCAGCCAAAGTGCACAAATAGAAAACGTTGTTTTTAAAGGGGGCAGAAGGGGGGGAAAGCTCTTTCTGGATGTCTTATGCAGAAGAAAGCAGCTTTTGTGCTCTATTGAGAGCCTTTTGTATGGAGGTTAAATTGGAAGGGGGGAAATTTGGAGGCTAAAATGAGCCCACAAACCCCCAGTTGGCTATTCATTTTTTAAATACACTTTTATAATCTTTAATAATAATAATAATAATAATAATAATAATAATAACCACTCATTCATTCAAACATGGATTCTCCCAAAACATCAATGTAGTATTTTTGAAGAAAAAAACCAATAAAAATAAAAAAATCAATATAATATCTGAGAGGTAATACATCAAATCTATTCAACCAGCTAAAACAATACAGTAAATAGCTTGGGCAATTAATTGGGTACCAAAAAGAAACACTGAGACTACTTGTCTTACCTCATTCAGGAGGGTATTCCAAAGTCAATCGCCAAAAAGGCCCTGTCCTTCCTAATACACCTTTCCTAGAGATAGAACTTGGAAAAGGACCTAATCTGAAGGTCTTCATGTGAGGGGCAGGTAGATATGGGGTGGGAGGAGGTGTTCAAGTGATTTAGCCCTTTAAAGGTACTTAAAGTACTTGGAACTGGGCTTGGGAACAAAACGACATCCAATGTACTGTAATTCCTTCAGTATATATGCTGCATAGCTCCCATCTAGACCAAGGTGGTCCAACTTTTCATACCAAGGGGGCTGCTAGATTACTTTGACACAGAACCTGTGGGCTGCATACTGCCTTGTCATGTGTGCACGCATAGTGGCGGGTGGGGGGAGCCCTACCTCCTAGTCCTTGCGCTGTATTCCCAAAGCTGACTGAGTGAGGCACTGGGCTTTGGGAAGGAGGTGTGAGGCTCTGGCAGGGTCCTAGAACCCTCCCATCACCTTCCTAAAGGTAGTAACTCTGGCAGCAGAATTCCACACTAATTGCACTTCTTAACCATTTTTAAGGGCAGCCCCACATGATCCTACTTGGAGGTTAACAAAGCATGGATTGCTGCAGCCAGGCTATCCTAGTTGAAGAAAGGCTCAGCTAACAAACCAGCATAAGCTGGCTAAGGTCTCTAGTGACAATACTAGATCAATAAGCATCACTAAGCTGCATTTCTGATCCTTCAAGAGGGAATGCAAGCTCATTCAGCACATGCACAGCCCATTCCTGATCCCAGGAATGATCAATTCACAGTGCATTCATCTTATCAGGATTCATCTTTAGTTACTGGCCAGATTTTATTGTTGTTTAGTCATTTAGTCGTGTCCGACTCTTCGTGACCCCATGGACCAGAGCATGCCAGGCGCTCCTGTCTTCCACTGCCTCCCGCAGTTTGGTCAAACTCATGTTCGTAGCTTCGAGAACACTGTCCAACCATCTCGTCCTCTGTCGTCCCCTTCTCCTTGTGCCCTCCATCTTTCCCAACATCAGGGTCTTTTCCAGGGAGTCTTCTCTTCTCATGAGGTGGCCAAAGTCTTGGAGCCTCAGCTTCAGGATCTGTCCTTCCAGTGAGCACTCAGGGCTGATTTCCTTCAGAATGGATAGGTTTGATCATCTTGCAGTCCATGGGACTCTCAAGAGTCTCCTCCAGCACCATAATTGAAAAGCCTCAATTCTTCGGTGATCAGCCTTCTTTATGGTCCAGCTCTCACTTCCATACTGGCCAGTTACTGAGCCCAAACAGCAGTTTAGCACCTCCTAATGCATGGTGGTGACAAAAGTTCCCCTAAATGCTCATCTTTGAAAATGTTGCTTGCTCAGTACTGTTTTCCGACGTTTTTTTTCTTTGTTTCTAAAGTATTTGTAAGTAACAGTAAAACTAATATGGTTTTCTTCCCAGATAACGGAGGCGTGTAGTTATAGATAATCTGAATCTGGGTATCCAATTTGCGTCTTTTGAAAAAGGAGAGATGATGGCCGTTTGAGCTATCACCCTTGGAAGCCAGCTCCTATACCTTAATGAGAATCCATACAGCTTTTATTACTTGGCCACAAATAATGGGCCTAATGCTTGTTGGCTTTAAAACACCTATGAGTAGCACTGCTTTTTCTCTCCTGCCTGTGCACTGTCTCCCTCTTGCAAAATATAAGACAAGGCCAAAGCTTAAATTAAAATCCTCAGGTTCTTATCTCCTTCCCACAGGAAAGCAAATCTGTGTTGAAAACCGTAAAATTAAGAGGAGAGCAAGGATAGCATAATTTAGCAAAAATTCATGGCAGAAGATTCTGAGCCTATATGACTGGAGGGATAGGTCAGACATTAAGATGATACCACTTGCTAAAGCAGGCTCCTTAAGGTGGTGCTCTGAAAACAAGGGAAAGTATGCAAGGGAGGGGGAGGAAACACACAAAGAAAAAAATATATGTCTCTGGCTTTGTGTTCGTTCGTTCTAAACTAGAAAGGCTTATTATACACAGACACTTCTCCTGCATTGTATTTTTAAATATGGTCCAACAAATTCTGATCATATTAGCATTCGACTAAATCTGGATCAGTTTCCTCTTTCCTTAGCTCCCAATATTTTACATTATTTGAAGTTCTTTTTAAGCCGTATCTGCATTTTGATCTGAACCCTCCCTTCCCTGTACAACCATCCGTCGTGATCTTAAATTTATGAGCAAAAAAATATTGCTTAAGGGGGATCCAGTAGGAGTCTCGTAAAAATACGCTAAGGTTTCTTTCTTGATAGCATAGTGCCCATCTACAGAAAAAGAGAAAATTAAACTACAGAACATGGTGTAATAATGCAAATGAGTCTCAAACATTTTCTGTGTTTTGCATAGACTTAGCCTGTGGGGAGAAAATTAGGAATTATTCTGGTAACTCCAGCATTTTTTTCAGCTTGAGGGGATTTCTGCATGTAGTAGTGGGCTATCTTGATTTTTTTATATAAAAAAATGCTTTGCTAATTTCTAGCAAATACTGGATACGGTTTTGTTATATGAGCTTTGTTTTACCTTAACATCTATGGTAGCACTACTCTGATAGAAATAACTATGATTCAGTAATGTGGTGGGGGGGGGGTTTAAGCACACTTCCATTATTATTCTTTTTGTTTGATATGAAATAGACTCCCCTCCCCCCCCCCCCGCAGCATTGCAGTATCACTTTCAGAGTAACCTAACTTTGGGGTTACATGCAGTTTGGGAGTGGAATGGTCTAAATGAAAATGAAGCAGTACTGGGAATCTTCATATGATATCTTGGGAAGAAGATGCACTCGGTGAGATTGCAGTGAGAAGGGGACTTGCCTTGGAGAGTAGGTCTATGAACTATGGTGGTGGGCAGATTAAATGCAGAGAGGCAGTAGTGAATATTACTTTACCAGTGCTATAGAAGTCTGCCTTTCATAGTTGTTGTTGTTTAGTCGTTTAGTCGTGTCCGACTCTTCGTGACCCCATGGACCAGAGTATGTTATCAAAATAACAATAATATACACGTCTTTAACAATTTTTTTAAAAAGCTTGTAAGACTTGGCACTGGAAACAAAAATAAGGTGATGAAAGACACCAGCGCTGCATCTGTATCAAAGGTGGGGTACATGTGACCACCCAGATGTTTCTGTACTCTCAATTCCCATCCACCCCAGCTAACATGACCATTAGCCAGGGATGATGGGAGTTGTAGTCCTGACAACATTTGGCGGACTGCAGGCTCCCCACCCCTGATCTCTATGAATGACTCCACTGAGACTTAAACATTCCCAGGTTTAATTCTGGAAACGTCATGGCAGAGCCCAAATAGAAAATAATGGGTGCTCCAACCTGACAGTCACACTGTTTACACCAGTTGTTGTTTACTGCTAGATCCCTGGCTGCATCTCTGACATTTTTACCATAATACATCGATTAATACGTATTCCCGAAGAGGTGGGCAGCTCCTCGTACCTGCCCTTTTGAACTGTAGTGGATAATGTGCCCATCCTGCTGTTTGGTGGCTTCCCACCCCCCACCCCGCCCGGTGATGAGAATATTGCTGTGTGTGAAGCAAGCCTGTATGACTTCTGACCAATCGCAACAAATGCTGCCCCAGCAGCCATTAGTTGTAGCTAGCCCACCTTGCATTTTCAGTCCCAGGTAGATTGCAAAACCAGAAGGCAAGTCACCTTAAAAGGCTAGTGGAGTAAATGTTGTGCGGATCTGGGTGGAGTAAGGAGATTGTGGAGAACTTGCCTAGTCCAGAGACCTGAACGTGTGCGGGTGTGGGTGGGTGGGTGTTGTTTAAACTGTCACCTTTATGTACATTTAACTGCTTGGTTATTTAAAAGCTAGGCAGATAAACATGCTTTAAAAAAAAAAAACCCTCACAAAAACGTGACAAGCCCTATTTAAAATAAAATAAAATCGCTACCAATGCTTTTTGTTTTTTGTTTGCAGTCCAACAAAGTACCGGTGGTGCAGCCTTCCCATGCGGTCCACCCTCTCACCCCACTTATCACCTACAGTGATGAGCACTTTTCTCCAGGGACGCATCCATCACACCTCCCCTCAGACGTCAACTCAAAACAAGGTGAGAGGCCTTAATTTATTTGCAGCCGTTCAGCAGAATAGCCAACCGCGTTTTGCCCTTAGCTCAGGGATGCTAAAGGCAACAGTTATTCTGTCCTAAAATATATATTAACCAAGGAGCCAAATGCCTAGGTTTTCCTGGTTCACTTTTGTGGAAATAACCACAATTGAAGTCCTTGGCGCCCCCTGCCATTTTACCAGTGTAGTACATACATTCTAAATTACCAGTGCATTAGGAGGTACTTTCCCCCAAATTGGCTTCTGATAGGTGAAAAGCAGATGCTATGAACCTTTCTTAATGACTAACCAAATTCTGTTTTAAAGTTTAGATTAGGCTTCCTTTAGAGCAGTGTTTCCCAACCGGTGTTCCGCGGCACACTAGTGTGCCGCGAGACGTTGCCTGGTGTGCCGCGAGATGTTGCCTGGAGGGAGGCGGGCGAGTCGGGCGGCAAGAGGCGGGGCGGCGGCGAGGAGAGGCCGCCCAGCGCGGGGCTCTCGCCGTCTGCCTGCCTGGCTGCCTGCGTGGCGCTGACGTCACAGGGCTGTAACGTGCCCCACATAGGCACACGCGGGGCGGCGAGCGAGCTCCCTCCCACATCCCATCGCCGCTCGCTTCGGCCGGCCTACTGGGCTGTCGCAGGCGGAAGGCCTGCGCATGCGCGAGGTTTTTGCGCCTTCGGGATTCCCTTCACGCCTTCCTCCTCCCGGGTCCTTGAGAGCGCGGGAAGCGGCAGCGCGAGACCGGCGTTGAGCCTGGTAGGTATTGCGCTTGCCAAGGCAGTCATTTGGGAAATGAAAACTTGCAAAGCAAGCAACCAGTTCAATCTGAAGTACGTGTATGCTTAATATCCTGTATCTGAAACCTGTTCTGCCCCCTCCCCCACACTTGGTGCCATTTTCATCTACACATGCAGCAGAGTAAGTTGACCCAGAATAGTACCAATTCAGATGGCAGATGGGAGAATGACAGTGCTGAATGCTTTCCCATGTAGAACAGTCCCTGCAAATAAAAACCTAGCATATTTGGAAGAGGGATGCTAGCCTAACCATTACCTTCTATGCTGTTACTATTTTTTTTTTTTTTTACATAAGTAAAAAGTGACCTTTCCCCATCTGGCATGGTGGTGTGCCTCGAGATTTTTTTCATGAAACAAGTGTGCCTTTGCCCAAAAAAGGTTGGGAAACACTGCTTTAGAGGAAACCAAGAGGATATTCAACCTGAAGCTTTCCCTTTCATCCAGCTTTTTCATCTGCGTTTGAATAAATAATAGCCATTTCTTACTTGGTTGGTTGGTTTTCTGAAAGTTTAGCTTGGACACTAATCTTAATTTAAAATATTACCACAGAATCTTAAATGCTGTTTATGGTGTGCTTTCAGAATATGAAACTGATCTTGCATTATTATGTGTGTGTTTGCTTTCGGATACCTGAATTTTTAACTTTGCTTTGTAATAAAAATTTCGTGTGTGTGTGTGTGTTTTCCTTTAAAGAAGTATTCCCCAAGTTTTTCTTACAGTAATATATGAATTTTCTAATGGATAAAAATGTAGAGGCTGTATGTGCCTAGTTGAGTGGTAGAGCATTTGCTTTGTGTCCAGAAGGTCACATTTTCAATCCTCAGCATCTCCAGGTGGGGCCAGAAAGGTCTTCTGTCTGAAACACTGAGCAGTCACAGCCAGCCACTGTAGACAGAATTGAGCTGGACAGACCAATGGACTGACTTGGTATAAGGCAGCTTCTGTTGTTCCTGTATTTTATTGCCTAGACTGCTGGAGCGTAGTTGTTGTTCCTTTGAATTTTGGAGTGCAAGAGACAGCTTAGCTGGCTTCGGGAATGGCCACTGCATTGAGGCCACTCTGCAATCATTGCTGGTGATATCTACTGTTCCAATTGCTTAGAATCTAGTAGAATATACATAGGTTAGAGTGGTTGTGACAGTTTAGGCTTGGTAGACCATGCTATGTTTGGCAGTGCCATTTCTGAAAACAACTGAAAATCTATGGTGAGAGGGAGGAAAGACTTAGAAATAAGGTGCTGTTGGCTCTTTCGTGTCTCCTAAGCAATGTTGTGTCACATGATGTGGTCCTGTCCAAACATGCCATTTTGGAAAGAAGCGACCAGCCACATAAATGTGGTTTTGGACATATCCCTGATCCTCTCAGATGTTGACATGTTGCTGAATTATATACCAACCCATTGGAATTTAACCAAAGGGCAATGAGATTGGCTGTTGCATGCACTCACAGCGGCTAAATGTTTAACTGGAAGGAAACGTCCTCTCTCCCTCCTCTCCATCATACGATGGACAGAAAATATGATCCAACTGGCCGTTTATCAGAAAGAGCCTTCCGTAAGCAGGAAAATGATGGGAAATACTCAGATATATAGACCCTCTACACAGACTTGCTTGCATAAACAATGGATGCTGGGCAAGTTTGGGGTGATAATCTAATTCTCTCTCCCCTCTATTCACATCGGTACATAATGATTGCTCATTGTAAACTTCTTTAATTATAAATGTTCCTTGTATTTGTGAAATTTGTATTTGTCCCCATTCTGTATATAAAATATTCACACACATAAAAGAAGGAAAGGTAAAGGTAAAGGTACCCCTGACCGTTAGGTCCAGTCGTGACCGACTCTGGGGTTGTGGCGCTCATCTCGCTTTATTGGCCGAGGGAGCCGGCGTACAGCTTCCGGGTCATGTGGCCAGCATGACTAAGCCGCTTCTGGTGAACCAGAGCAGCACACGGAAACGGCGTTTACCTTTCCGCTGGAGTGGTACCTATTTATCTACTTGCACTTTGACATGCTTGACATTGTCTTGTGTCTCTGGGCAATGCTCCATAGTCTAGCATGCAGTTTAGCAACATGTGTGGTGAGGGAAGAATGGTGTGGCAAGACGACCCCATCTCCTTGGCCTAGACATTGTCACCAGTTCTGTTTCTGAATCTGGGGAAACAGAGGAGCACTTCCCTTTATCAAGGGTAAAAGAGCCCGAACAGCCACTGTTTTTCTCATGTCTCGTGTCTTTTTAGATTTTGAGCTTGAGAGTAGGGACCATCTTAGAACTGATTCTTGAAAGCTGCTCCGAAAGCTTTTATTGTTATTAATTGATTGATTAATATACCACCCTTCATCCAAAGATCTCAGGACAGTTCCCAAGATAAAAAAATACAGGATAAAAACACAAAATAAATAGTTAAAACAAAAAACAAAACAGTAACAGATAAGGACAATAATGGGAGTGTAGGAACGGGGACTTTAAGCTTTTGTCCCCCTGGTGATTGTAGCCTGAACCAGGGGCCCCACACCATCTATTTGCCACATAAACTTTTCTGCCATTATGGCTTTCCTTCATGCCCCCCCCCAAATGTTGAAACCTGTTTTGATTATATTGAATTTTGATGTAGTCAGCTCCTCCCCCCCCCCCACAAAATGGCAGGGTCACTTATACCTCCTCTCACTTAGAATAGAGGACTTTACATATGAAAAGAGACCTGTGATTTTTGCGTTGGTTCTTTAATGCACTAAATAAATCAATGGTTTAATGGTCTCTGTGACCATAATTCTGTGTGCCTCCTTGGGGCATGAGATTTAGGTAGAGCATGAAAACCATAGGGCTCATCTGGGACTAGGATTAGCTTTAATCCTTGAGGTGGTTTTTTTTGAGTTTGTAGCATTTCTACGTTCTTGAGAATGTGAGTTGATGGATCATTTCCAGTGGGACTTCCTTATGCCATTGCAAAAATACTAACCAATACAAAAGATTGACCTTGGCGCCCACAAGAGTCAGAGACAAGGAGCTTAGCTGAAGCTGGAGTGACAATCAGGAGCCAAATGAATCATATCAAGTGTGACCATTACACGCCTGAAAATGATTCTTAATTAACCACCGATCCTCTGTGGTAGCAAGTTTCCAAAATCTGTGAATCACAAGGGAACCACAGAAAATGTACAAGCAGCAATTTACCTAATCTAATAAGTCTGGTCTGCTGCCTGTTTGGAGCTGCTGTTTTTCTGCTCTCTCAGCCCCTCTGAAAATGTTTCATTCTGATTTGTTTTACAAGACTTCTTTCCTTTAAGAGAGAGAAAGAGATCAGATAAGCTTCGCCATATACTTTTATTTTATCACTTTTCGCAGGGTGGGGAATCTGTGGTCTTCTAGAAGTTGTTGGACCCCAAAAAATCTCCCTCAGACAGCATAGCCCAATGGTCAGGGATTAAGGGAGTTATTGTCCAATAACATCCAGCAGGCCAGAGGTACTCCACCCTTGACTTATAGGCTGTAACCTTCTTCCTCTCTTTCTTTTTAAATCAGAGTGAAAATTAACCATGCTATATAAAAACTACTGGTCTTGTGGCCTAAGCTTTTGTGAACCAGATCCTCCTCCATCAGAAAGACGAAGCAGTCACCTAAGTGGGTAGGTATATATATGTATATCCTAGTATAGAGAGAAGGAATCCTTTAAAAATTACGTATCACGTATAAATACTGAAGACAAAAGGTCAGTCAGTGCAAGGCAGGACAGCTGGTGCATCACAGTACCAACCAGAGCACAAATGAATACTGAATCCAATCTGGTAAGCAGTCTGGGGAAGGGTCTCTGTAGCTCAGTGGAAGGGCATCTTCCTTGCATGCAGAAGGCCACAGGTTCAATCCCCATCATTTCCAGGTCGGGCCGGGGATGATTCCTGTTTGAAACTGTGGGGAGCTGCTGCCAATCAGTGTTGACAGTACTAGCCTAGGTGGACAAATGGTGTGACTTGATATAAGGCTGTTGTGCAGTGGGGCAAACAGGTGAGCATGAAGAATGATGAACTCTCAAGAACAGAGCCTTACATAGACCCAACCTTCTCCACAAGTTTGCACTTCGCAGTATGTTCCCAAAACAAAGCAATCCATCTATATTTTCCAGCGGTTTTTTCTATGCAAAACTCCTGCATGTTGCAATGGCCCACAAGAGTGGTGCCCTTAACTCACCTGGCAAAATTGTTAACCTGTTCAGCCTCACGCTGACTTAGGCAGAAGAGTCACGTCTTGTCTTGGAAACTCTCTTTCGGCTCAGTGACATCTGCATATATGTTGCAGAGGTTTACAGTGATGGAAGTTTATTTCCACCATCCTCACTTCAAGGAATACTTCAGACCCATCACTCAGCAGTGCACTGGTGACAGCAACTATCCTCTCAACACTGGAAAAGGGTTAATGTGTGGACCTCTCCTGGTGGTTTCAATATAGATTGGACTTTTACATGGAACGTTTATATCTTCATGCAGCTTGCCAGGGTCAGAGTTGCAGGGGGAACCTTCCTACAGAATTTCAGGAACAAATCTACGCAGACACACCCAATATTATCCTAGCTGCTATCCTGAATGCAGAAACTAGATAATCCTGTTTCATATTTTGGCATTCTCACAGGACAGGTGCCTTACTAAGAAGAGTTTATTCTTAGGACCAAAATCACCTGCAGTCATACTTATCTTCCGGGCATCACAGTCTTCCTGGAGACTACAATTTGCTGACATACTTACCGTATATGCTTCAAGCTGCCATCCAGGTCATACCGCAGAATACATTGTCTACTGGATGATGTAACTGCATTTGGTTAGAGACTACCACCTTCAAGTTTTACATAATGCATTCTTAAAACAGGAGCACTCACTTGGGAAGAGGGAAAACCAGATCAGCTAAGTCAAGGCAGGTACAGAGGAGTTGCTGTCAGTGGATTAGACCCAGCAAAAGGCTAACTGAATGCCATTTACTGTCTACAGCTCATCCTGGAAGATGATAAATCCACCTCACAACACCTTCTTAACAGATAGCACTTCTTAACTGAAGCAACTTCTAACCAGCAGCAATAGGTCACTTAATGGAGTTTAAAAATATATAAACTGGTGCCATTTTGCTACCCTAGCTATTCTGGCAACACTGTCATGGGACCAAACTACAATGGCCATAAAATCAAAGTCTTGTTCATCTACCCATCCTCTAACATGGTATGACTGAGCAGTGATGTCCTTCTCCCATTGCCTTAAAACAAATAAGTTTATTTCTCATGCAAGAAGATAAATGGGGACAAATTGGTGATATTTGAATACCAGTAGGGGAGCATTTCAATTCCCAGGGCATTTTGTGGACCCAGGAGATCACAGGATCATGGTATTCCTATGTAAGTTTCAAATGTGATGAGTATGACTCTCCTAGCAAATTTGATGCTCTGATGTTTCATCTGAGCAAATCCTAGGAATTGCTAGATCACTGCAGAAAGCAATTGTTAGGTGTGTGTTTAAGCTATTGATCTTGCAATGCCCGTTCATTATCAGCACCCACTAGTCAGTGGGTTACATCCGTTCCGATTGGATCTTGAAGTCATTTGTGTTCTGCATAGCACTGTGATTCACTTACTGCTATGTCCTGTATTGCTTGACCTTTTGACTTTGCTTTAGAAACACAATCAATCACTCTTCCTTCTCTTTGTACTCGGGGTGTATATACTTACCCACTGAGTAGAGTATATATCTGACAAAGTGGGCTCTGGTGCATGAAAGCTTATGCCACAATCAATTTATTAGCACTTAAGATGCTGTAAGATTTTGTTGTTGTTGCAACAGATAGATAGCTATAACTATCCCCCCGGAACATGAAATGCATTCTAAGAGCCAGTGTCTAGATTTTACTGTAGCTATTCACACCAGATCCAAGGCTTGGATTAACAGGTTCTTACAAACATCTGTGGGCCTTGGGTAGATATCCAAATTTTCTAGATGCTGACACCAGCCATTCTTTCAAAGTGGCTATATGGGATGTAAAATCACTAATTTGATTGTTCCTTCCAACTCTAGAATCCTATGATAGACTCTGTGACTGTTTCATTGAATGACATAGTCGTTTTTAATTTTGTTACCATAAATGATGTGGATAAGTAAGTAACAACTTAAGACCCTTAATTTAAATGGGGCGTAAGCATGTATCTGGATCCAACCCTTAATATCTTGGGGTCAATAGCTCTGTTGCACAAAGCAGCTGTAGCAAGCACATTTCTGACCCAGATCATATCCCAGCTGTAGCATCTAAGAATTTGTTTCGGCAGAGAACATGCCAGCTTTTAGTCTTTCCTCTGTGTGTCCTGGTTTGGTTGACAGTTCGGTCCTAGTTGCCCTGTTGCTATCAAGTAGGTAGGGAAAACTCTTAGACCAAAAAAAATATTGAAATTTAAGCATTCATAATCTGGGCTGATGAAATGAGTCGTGTGGGTGTTTGTTTTTAATGTGAATCTAAATGCTAAATGCACTACGGGCTTAGAGGTTTTGTTCCATTTTCTTCTTTTAATTTACGGACGAGTTGCTTCTATTTCTTTTTAACACAGTATTTCATAATTTGATGACCAAAATGACGACTTGCGCTCTATACTTTTCAACAGGCATGTCCAGACATCCTCCAGGTCCTGATATGCCCACTTTCTATCCCTTGTCTCCCGGTGGTGTTGGGCAGATTACCCCACCTCTTGGCTGGTAAGAACCTCCTGGTGCTTCCGAACTAAGTTTGTGTGTGCTTGCATAGTTGTGTATGTGCGTGTTTGTTTTTGTTTTAAAAATAATAATAATTGCTGCCTTTATGGGCTTGAGAAGTATCTCCTACCTGTTTACATTTTTTAAAAAGTAGAAATCCATGGAAATGCCAATGAGTAAATAACGAAGTAGCAATTGATTGTAACTAGCAATTGTTTCATAAACTGTAGATTTGTATTTACAGTCATACCTTGGGTTACAAACGCTGCAGATTGCGTGTTTTCGGGTTGCAGACCGTGCCGAACCCAGAAGTACCAGAACGGGGTTACTTCTGGGTTTCGGTGCTCGCACATGCGCGGAAGTGCAAAATGACATCACACGCATGCGCAGAAGTGCCGGATCGCTTCACACATGTGCACAGACGTGGTGCTGCGCTGTGGGTTGCGAACGCTGTGGGTTGCGAATGTGCCTCCCATATGGAACACGTTCGCAGCCCGAGGTATGACTGTACTGAACTCTAGTATGTATTGTACCTTCAACATGGTTCATTTGGCCCAGTGCTCACAAGGCCTTTTCTCTAAATGTTTGTAGGGTTCAGGATTGGGGCAGGCACATGAATGCCACTGAGCATGTGCACTGCCTTCTTGCCACTGAATAATTGCAATTGATTTGCTCAAGGCACTGTCCATGTGGCAGATGGGTCCTTTTCATAGAGTCCTAGAATTGTAGAGATGGAAGAGACCCCTAAGAGTCCAGCCACCTTGCCATGCAGGAATCCTGTCCACAGGTATCCCTGAGTGGGCTTGAGACACCATCCTTCCCATTACCAGACAGACACACTGACCCATTGCGCCACCATTGGGCACAGAGTGAAAACACAATTATTTGAGCACTTCTTGGTGCAATCACATCTAAAAAAGAGCCATCGCAGAGTGACTGTGTATATCTGTGTATACCTTCAGTAAACCTTCTCCCCGTCATGTTAATAAATTGCACTGCCATCCAGCAAGAGAGTGATTCAGACGCGGACAACAAAAGAATGACATCTGGAGTGTAGTGAGCTAAAATGATATATTCTTTAGAGTTCAATAGTTGGCAATTTCTGCACCTCTTTGGATTTGTTATACTGGGAGTGTGCATTTTGGCATTTTGCCACACACATCAGACATGAAAATTCCACAGCTGTAGGCTCTCTACACCTTGTTAGATTGGGCCCAAATCTTTGAGTAATCTTCCCTCGATATTTTGGAAAATAACAGCAAAATGGCTGTCAGCACCATGAGTAAAAAATGGCTGCAACTTTTCAAAATGACCTTGTAATTAGAAGAGAATTTGAAAGAGCAGGATGTGTGGTGCCTGTTCTCTTTTGCACAGCTGCTTTAACACTATGGAGGCCTTTCTCATGGTTTTGATTCCAGCTTTTAAGTTTTGGCATTTCCTCGAAATGCTTTCTCAATGCAGATGTTTTTGCAAAGAGGGTGAGTCTGGAGGAAAATGCTGATAACACAAATGATGAAGTCTAGCACAGATTACTCTTACGCTCTGCTTACTGTAGCTGAAAATGTGCTATATTTGGATTTCTTTTTCTTTCCCCCCAACCCTTTGGTGCACTGGCCCTCCCTACTGCACACACGCAGAGCTCTGTTTAAGTGTGAAGACCGTCATAGTGAGCAAAAGAAAAGGCCAATAGCTTTGGAAATGCCAATTTCTTAAAACATTAAATCTGTCAATCGATAGCTCTGCTTAAATAGAATTGAGCGAAGTCTTTCAAGAGTAGATCAATTATTCTCTCTGAACTTTGCTACTTAAGTGTGTTGAATCCTGCTCAGAAGTTGCATCAATGCAAGCTGGAGGAAAAGACAATGTAAACTAAGCAGAAAAAGTTCAAAGTAGTTGAAGCAATCAATTTGTGCTAGTGAGATATGGCATTCTGAAGAAGACTGGAACTTCAAACCAAGAGTTCATTGGTTTGTTTTCTGTGTGCCCTGCTTTCTCTCTCCCTCTCTTAAGATTCATGTTTTGCACTCAAGTTAATTGCATACATATCTTTCGGTAAAAATACATGCATAGTTTTCACTACCGAAAAAGAGAACTGTTTGCATCTTTTCAAACCATACTAGGTAACTTCAGTAGGTCATGGAAAAGTGATGCTGTCAACAAGACAATAAGCTGCCTCAATACCTTGCCTAGAAAAGACTAGGCAAAAACAAAATCTTATGAAGCTGCAGAGGTGGTTCTTATGCTTGTCTGTATGGTACACTCAAACCTACCGCATTTCAAGAATCTGAATCCACTATGCCCCCTTTATATAAAAATCATAGATATTTAAAAATGCAATTAGTTTACAAATATACACAATCTTTTCCCAAATATATTGATCCAATAAGATTTGGCAGGACTGTTAAAATAATTAACTCAGTGCTCTATAATCAGTATAGTTGCCAGAAAGGAATTATATTAATTATACTAAAGAACTAGATTTGATGTTATCTTTAACCTGTATATATTATATATCATCTTATTTTTTCCATAAATTTATTGTGTGTTCACCCTCTAGGCCTTTTTTGTAATAGCTAACTTTAGTAAAGAGTGCTGCTTATCAAAAGCTACTATCCACTCACTGAAAGAAGGATTTTAAAGATTTTTAGTTACCACTGATCTAGCAATCTAGCAATAGGTAAAATAGTAGTCATTAATCCAAATCCTCTTCATTTAAGATCTCATTTAAATATGCAGAGAGAATCAGTTTAGATGTTTTAGGAATGTTGCAGCCAGTTATATTATTACCAGCACTTTTTGCCAGAAAATAGATAAATAAGGAAAAGTCCAAAACATATGAAGTAACATCAGCTTCCAAAATTTAACATTTCCAATGTATGTCCTCTTCACCTCATCCTGATAGAAGAAAATATATAAATTTGAAGTACCACTGAAATTGAAATTTATATTTACTTTAATGGTTATTTGAGTAACATTTTATTATTTCTTTATTTTGCATGACAAAAACCTATCCTTTACTCCTAAATCCTGTTAATTTAAGGATATGTTTGGTAAAGCTAGCTGTTCTTAGGATCTAGGCCTCATATATGCTCTTTTTGCTAGATGTGGGGTTTATCTTCCCAGATAATCGTCATAATGATATCTTGCAACACCCTGAAGTGACTTTACTGACAAATTAATGTTCTTTGGGAGTTACTGATGCTACTAACACTTTTCAGAAATATAATTAGTCCCATGGTAAAAACTTTCCCACTTTTAATGTACTGTATTGGCAGACTGACGTATAAACATCTGTTGGTTGCAGTGGAACTATGAGTATAAGTTTTGTCTCACTTTGACTGCCATGGAGCCGCCCTCAAAGAATCATGGGAACTGCAGTTTACAGAGGATTCTTTGTTAGAGGTCAATAGACACCCACCCTCTTTTCACAGAACTATAGTTTCTAGGGTTTCATTGGCAAGTCAATACTGCACCCCTTATCACAAAGCAAATTCTAGTTTATTCGAATCCATTTTATAGAAAGTGTTAAAGGTTAAAGGTAGTGTTGAAGGTTATCCAGTTCAAGTTAATGTTCCCAAGATCCGTGGTGGTGGTCTTTCTCAGTAGGGAATCTGTAGAACAGGCTTCCACAACCTCAGCCCTCCAAATGTTTTGAGACTACAATTCCTGTCATCCTTGACAACTGGTCCTGCTAGCTAGGGATCATGGGAGTTGTAGGCCAAAAACATCTGGAGGGCCGAGGTTGAGGAAGCCTGCTGTAGAATCCTAAATCAGAATGCAGTGCAGTATGCTTTCGTTGATAGCTTGCATCTCATTGGTGTTTGGTAAAAAGGCAAGCTCACTTCTGTTACAGTATTATTGATGGGTTCCTTTCTTCTGTGACCTCAGGCAAGGTCAGCCTGTATATCCCATCTCAAGTGGATTCAGGCAGCCCTACCCACCCTCACTTTCAGTCGACACTTCCATGTCAAGGTAGGTCTAGGTGCGGAATGAGTGGCTGAGGTGTAACTGCTGGAATTAGAGGGGCAGTTTGCTCCCCTGCTTGCATCCTGGTGTATGCCTCTGCTTGCTATCCCCTTCCCCCAGTCAGCTAAAATGCATTTATACCTATAAACTATACTGTGTTTATACAGCTTACCTAAATCTCATTTTAATGACCTTCAGCATATAGTCAGGGCTGGAATCTGAAGCAGCCTACCCCAAACCTGGTGCCCTCTAGATATTTTGGACTACAACTCCCATCAGTCCCAGCCAACATGGCCCAGTAGTCAGGAGAGATGGGCGCTATAGTCCAAAACATCTGGAGAGCACCAGGTTGGGGAATGTTGGTCTAAAGGCACATGTTACCACAGCCTTGCTGAAGCTAAACAGGTCTGGGTTTGATCAGTGCCTGAATAGAAGACTTCTTGGAAACCCTAAGTAATACTATGGGTAATGCAAAGAATGGTGGAATATAAATGTAAAATAATAATATTAATAATAAAAGACCAAATAGTCATTCAAACTGCACTGGTGTTTGTCGTTTTGCACCCCATGAATATAACCACTAAATATAAAATGGTCACTCCTTTTGATCAGAGTCACTTTGGCTTCACTCCCTGCTCCCGTGCTTTACTCTTTTCATGTAGATTGCAGAACCTCAAAGAAATTTCCAAGCCCAAATCTGTTTTAAAATAAAGGCAAAGAAGCTGTGTACACATGGTTATATCTGTAATAGTGGCGTGTGAATGGGTGGCAGTGTTAGTGCAAGCAAGCAGCACTAACTGGGACATGGCAAGGACAACACTTTCGTGTCACACTTTACATTTCTGCGCTATGGGAAGGTGGCCTCTATATCCTATGCTTGGTGTACCCAAAGGATTCAGCGAACCTCTGCGTATTTTACACATATTTAAAACACACAACTGTTGATTAACACAGGCACTTGCTATTTAGGTGTGGGTTCTATCACATTTCTTTACATGTGCTTTTATCACGTAGGGACCAATCCTATTCACAAGAAGCCAGCGTAAAGCACACTGGTGTCAGTTAAACTTGCATAAAGTTACACCAGATCCAAACCCCATTCAGCAGTGGGACTGCTACTGTGCCTAAACCTGGTATTTAAAGTAGTGTTCTATGCCAGGTTGCCAAGTCACGTGATCAAGTTGAATGGGCTTAGGATCCAGCCTAAGTCCTCCCCTCTGATCACGCCCCTGCCACATCCCTTTCTGCTGATTTACACCAGCCTTGGTTAAGGCAGAATGAGCAAATTACACCAGCATATCTTCAGCTGAGCCAGGATGGGGACTTAATGCTGGCTAAGACAGGAATCAGGCAGGAAACTGCCCCTGGCTAAGACAGGAAGGGATGTGGGTGGCGCTGTGGGTTAAACCACAGAGCCTAGGACTTGCTGATCAGAAGGTCAGCAGTTCGAATCCCCGCGACAGGGTAAACTCCCATTGCTCGGTCCCAGCTCCTGCCAACCTAGCAGTTCGAAAGCACGTCAAAGTGCAAGTAGATAAATAGATAAATAGGCGGGAAGGTAAACACCGTTTCCGTGCACTGCTCTGGTTCGCCAGAAGCGACTTTGACATGCTGGCCACATGACCAGCTGTACGCCGGCTCCCTCGGCCAATAAAGCGAGATGAGCGCCGTAACCCCGGAGTTAGTCACGACTGGACCTAATGGTCAGGGGTCCCTTTACCTTTAGCTTTTAAGACAGGAATCAGCTGGCTGAGCCATAGATCTTCTGCATCCTAAACTGCTCATCCTGGTGGATTTTGTCATAGGATTGCCCCTTTAATCACTGTTTTTATGCATCTTTAGGAATAAGATGTATTGCAAATTCCTAGTTGAGCAAGCCACCATTAAAAACATTTCAGTGTGCTCTTTAAGAGCACATGCTAATTTCCCTGCCCTGTGAGTTTCTTGATGGAATATGCAAGAAGGTTACCTTACCAACACATTTCAGGCGGGGGGTGGGCGGGGGGGAGAGAAAACCATAGAAGCCTCAAAGGGGAAGTAGCAAACTAGTTCAGTAATGCCATTTTAAATATTTATTTCAATTTATCTGTAGTATGAGCCATCCCAATAGAAGCAAACTGATTTGGATCTGTGCCTAAGGCAAAACACTAGCCCATATTCTTTCCCCCACACGCTTGGGGACTTAAAAGTCTGATATGTGATCAAGTAAGGTTGATGAAATGTAAGACAGGTTTTAATGTCCTTTTCTAAAGATACGCAAGTTACCTTTGTTGGAGGTTTTTTTAATTTTCTGCATGATAATTACTACCTTTTGTTGGCTGGTGGTGGATAACTCAATATCTTTTATACTTGTGTGGAAACAGTTTTTTTGGTTAAGGGCTTTATTCTTTTGAAATTATTGGCCATGTTAAATTCACTTGTGTCTAATTCCAGATTCCCAAAGCCACAGATAACAGGAGACTAAAAACCCTATTTGTAACACACGTTTTAGCCAAATAATTGTTTCCCACATTGGTGTATCATGGTCTCTTAAGTGGTATGAATGAACTGCCTCCACTGTCTTGAGTGATTTGTAGGTATCCTATACTGTGTTTGAGTTCCCATTATGAAGAAGACTGTACTTTTTTCTTTTTTGTAGGTTTTCACATCATATGATCCCTGGTCCTCCAGGACCCCACACAACTGGAATCCCTCACCCAGCTATTGTAACACCTCAAGTCAAACAAGAACATCCACACACAGACAGTGACTTAATGCACGTGTGAGTTTTCCTCTGGTCTTTAATTGATCTTTCATCTGCAATGCCTTAAAAGTTGAGTAAGCATGGCAAATAAGTAGTCTCAGTCTCTCTCTCTCTCCCTCACTTCCCATGGGTATTCTTCAACAAAGAAATAGTGATTGCATTCGTATTTTAAAAATATATAAAAAAATTAAAAGGGGGATGGAAAGGGGCAGGGTTCTGGGGAAAATGACTTTGGCAATCCTGCCCACCATTGTACCCAATGGGTTTTGACTTTACATAATTTTGGCTTTAGGTGCAATCCCCGGAATGTAACCCCCATGTTACAGTGGTGCCTTGCAAGACGAAAATAATCCGTTCCGCGAGTCTCTTCGTCTAGCGGTTTTTTCGTCTTGCGAAGCAACCCTATTAGCGGATTAGCGCTATTAGCGGATTAGCATCTTAGCGGCTATTAAAGGCTTAGCGGCTAAAAGGCTATTAGCAGCTTAGAAAAAGGGGGGGGAGCGGGAAAAAATCACAAGACTCGCAAGATGTTTTCGTCTTGCGAAGCAAGCCCATAGGGAAAATCGTCTTGCGAAGCAACTAAAAAACGGAAAACCCTTTCGCCTAGCGGGTTTTCCGTCTTGCGAGGCATTCGTCTTGCGGGGCACCACTGTAGTTGCATGCTTACAAAACCCTCACCTCTCAGAGTAATGAGCATATCGGGATGCAGCTGTCCACTGGGCTTCAGGCTTCTCCAATGTTTTCACAGTTTTAAGAGGAGAATACACATGAAAGTACATATTAAAATATTAAATGTGTATTTAAAGGTTATTAATTAAAATGCAAGTTAATGCAGAGATAGAATGGAATTAGGCAAAATAATTATGCAAAACGTGGAATTTTGCAAAAGTGACAAGGATCTAGAATAGTTGCCTCCATCCCTAGGACCAGTGGCATTCTTCAGTGATAAAATTCCCAAGCTTGACGAAATGGGTCTTTTGGGAGCTGAACTGTAGAATGAAATTCCATAGCTCAGCTTTCCTCAAGTACAGATATTTGTTCTGGAGATGATGTGACATCCTCATCATTTTAGGCAGAATTTGCTGATCCAAATGTTTTTAAGTGGAAAAGGCATTCTTTCTTTTCTTTCTTTCTTTTTCTGCTTCCCATCCCCACCTGTCTCTCAAAATATTTTTACCCATATCCTGTAAGCTATTTTCATGCTCTTCTTTGTACTCAACTTGTACCCACCACCACCCTCTTTCAAAAGCACAACACAACACCTTGCCACTTTATTTCCTCCCTCCCTCCTGGTTCTTTTATATTCCCTTCTCCTTCCTACAACACTTCCCCTCTTCTAGCCCCTTCCTTCATGCCTTTCCCCACCCCTGCCCCACTCCCGGAACTTCTCTGGCCCCTGACCATCTTGACTCAGCATGCAAGGGGTTGCTGGTGCTAGCACTCATCTAACTAGAAGCCTGGGGTTATATCTGGGGATGGTGGGGCAAGCCAGTTAGGAGGTACTGGATAGGTTGTGGCACTGAGGACTACCTGAAAGTGGGTCCCAGCCCACTGGAGGAGGAACATTGTGATAGAACATATAGGGTGTTTCCTCTTCTCTCCAAAAATGTGATAACCAATCAAGCATGGCTGCTCGGAAAAATAGTTGGTCATCTGAAATAACGTGTTGAAAATGGTAACAGTTGCTCTTTCTGTATTTCCTTTCCTCCTGCTACCTTTAGGAAGCCTCAGCATGAACAGCGGAAAGAACAGGAGCCCAAAAGACCTCACATTAAGAAGCCTCTGAATGCTTTTATGTTATACATGAAAGAGATGAGAGCGAATGTCGTAGCAGAGTGTACTCTGAAAGAAAGTGCAGCTATCAATCAGATTCTTGGCAGAAGGGTATGACACAACCGTATTTGTGTATGTGCATGTTCTGTGTTCAGTATGTGCTGTCCAACAAACCCTTGCCCCAGTACCCACCTCGACAATGTAGTCACTGGCTACTGGGAGCTATGTGATGCTGTTTAAAATGAAAGCAAGTAGTCTTGTTGTGTCATAAAGCAGGGGCCCATAAGGTAAAGCATGTGTTTTGTATGCATAAAGGGTCAAATTTAAGTCCACAGACCTCCATTTACAAGGCTCTCAGGTAGGAGAACCAAAAAAGACTCCTGACTGTGACCTGCTTTTCAGAGAAGTCAACACTAGGCTAGATCAGAAGTGGGGAATCTCTGATCCATGAGGCTTCCCAGGCTGGTGGGCACACTTACTGGCCACACCCACCAGCCCCACACCTGCAGTCATATATGACACCAGGTGTGTGGCAGGTAAAGGCAGGTGTTGGCCAAAAGGGGCTTTGCAGGCTCTACCAATTGGCAGTGCTCGCAAAGCTCTCTGTTGCACAGTGCTTCCAAAGAGCCCAAGAAGCAGCACAAAAGACCTTTACAAGTGTCAATCATTGGCATCATTAGGATGTCAGATGGGCTAGTAGGCTGTCCTATACACCTGTCAAAGTTTGTTCGTGGAGATGGAGGGGAGATAAGATTCTGACCTGCCACATGAAAGCAGTCTTCCGCCCTAGACGCACCAGTAGTAAAAGGCAGCTTCATATTTCATGCAGATGTGCTAGCCATGTGTCATAAGACTGTCAGTGGCAGTGGAACATGAGTGGGGGAAATCCTGTTGCACTTATGTCCTGTTTGCGAGCTTCCCATGCACATCTAACTGTCCACCGTAGTAAGAGAGTGCTACACTAGATTGGCCCTTGTTATCCACTTGTTTTCATGCTTTGATTTGAACAAATGTATACAAATAGCTATGGTAAAATATGCAGAAGTTGTGCTGGAAGAAAGAAGTACATTCTGCAGTACATGTTTCCTTTTCTTCTGCAATATTTTCATGGGATACCTTCCTTAAAGTATTAGCCAGTACTTTTTTTCTAAAAAAATTTTTAGGGGTACTCTCATTTTCCTACTCATATTGAAATACTGCCCCTCAATGAGGCCAAACTTAGATTCACAAAATGTTTAGGGGTATTCATACCCCTGCGTCCCCCAGAAAAAACCCACTGGTATTAGCAATATAACTACTATTTTGTTGCATTTGCAAGTTGAGACTTTCATTTTAAGTCTGAATTTTAATTCTCTTCTGATATTTCTTTAGCTTTCACTATGCTTGCCAGTTACTTAAACCCTTGGCTTTTAAAATGAGACTTGGCGTCAGAGTGATTAGGGCTCTATTTGCAAAGAATACTATAATGTTTATTGCTTGGGTTCTATCAAAGCACGTTCTCTGTGTTTTATTATTATGCTGTGTAAATACACCATAGGACAGAATATACCTTCTTTGGTTTTCACAAACACTGAATTAGCTTAAGCTCTTGTCTATATTTTGACAGCTTTCTGCAAGACTTACAAGTCCAATTACCTCTTGTCTCCCAAGGTAGCTCCTATGTCCTTTATTCCATGATTGGTCTCAGTGTTTGATAATGGCTTACAAAGGATAGCACCTAGGCAGGAATCCAAGTGCTGCCTTTTTGGGTAGACAGCTGAGGCTGTAGTCTAGAAAGTACACTCAAATTTAGTTCCATGGAAGTACCTCTTCAGAACCTTTAAAAAAATTTCATGCCAAATATTTTGGTATTTAAAGGACAAAAGAGTCTGAATGTACTGTCTGCTACACTTGTGTTGTGAAACAAACCACTTTTGGGGTGTAGAAGTTTGAAGATTATTGGGCAGGTTAAGAGAAACTTCTACACCACATTCAATAATATGCATACATTTCGGAACCCATGGCATGGGTAAAAACAATTGATAGTCCTCCTAGATCAGGGCAGTCCAACATTTCATACCAAGTAGACTGCAAGAGTGCTTTGACACTGAACCCACAGGCTAAAATTTGACACTCTCAAGCCCTCACACTGTCTTCTGGAAGCTCGCTAAGTGAGGTGCCATGCTTTGGGAAGGAGTCATGAGGCTCTGGTAGGGTTCTAGAGCCCTCCCGCCTCCTTCCCAAAGTTGGGAAAGCGCTAACTAGGACCCTGTCAGAGCCCTCGTGCTTCCTTCCCAAAGCCCAGTGTCTCTTACTGAGCTTTGGGAAGACAGCCCGAGGGCTTGGGGTGGGCATCAGATGTTGTCAAGGACCACCAAAAAAGATCTTTCAGGCTGCAGTGGCCCTTGAGCAGTATGTTGGACCACTCTGTCCTAGATGAAGGCAGATGTAACATTGTTAAAATAGTGTTGACAATTTGGAAGCATTGTACGTGCATTCAGTCCAAATTTCTCATGGCTCTCTAGTTTCGAGTTCTGAAGGGTGGATGAAAATTTGCTACATAAGCTGGTTGTTCCCTGTGCTGGATGGCTATTGCCCACTACGAGGTTCCCCAGTCCCAGAACATTCCTTAAGGAAAAGGGTTCCTTCTAAAAGTTAATGAGAAGGTGATGGATTATTTATTTTCAAATGTATATCATGATTATTATTTTTTGTGCTTCAGCAGGTTCAAGGTTTTATGCAAAGTTAAAATACATAATTAACTAATAAACAAATTTAGGTTGGTAGTCAACTAAGTTTTACTCAGAGCAGACCCGCTGATATTAATGAACATGACTGAGTTAGGTCCGTCAATTTTGATGGATCTATGTAGTTGAATTACTATGCCTAGTCTAAACCACAACAGGAATAAAACATTTCTACTTAAGAGCACTGAGTGAAGGATGGGGAGAAAAATATGTATGTATGCTGCTTTAAGAAATAAAAATATAAGGAAATAACAATAATATGTATACCCCACCCATCTGACTGGGTTGCCCCAGCCATTCTGGGCAGCTTCCAACATAATAAAAACACAGCAAACGTCAAACATTAAAAACTTCCCAATACAGGGCTACCTTCAGGTGTCTTCAGAAAAGTGTTTATCTGTTTGACATCTGATGGGAGGGGGTTCCCTTTGCCTTGTTCCCTGTAAGACAAGCCTGCAGGATCAGGCCAAGGGAACATCTAGTTAAGCATCCTGTTCTCACAGTGGCCAACCAGATGCCTATGGAAGCCTGCGGGCAGACCATGAGCGCAACAGCACTCTCTGCCCATCTGCAATTCCTAGTAACTAGTATTCAGAGGACAACTTGCCTTAAGTAAGGGTGTAGAGTGTGTCTGACGGCCAAGTGAGTATTCATTTTGTTGAAGTGCATGTCTGTAGCTTCCATGCCTGGAGGAAGCCCTTTGCAGGGCTCAGCCAAGGGACCTGCTCATTTTGTATTTTCTCATTCTCCGCTCTTACTTTAGGCTGCATTTCTGTGCAGTGTTGCACATACTGTAAAGTTACCAGCCCTTCCCCCCGCCCCAAGTTGTAAATCCTACATTCTCTACAGCTAACCACGTTTGACAAAGAAGAACAGAGAATGGTTATTCCAACATTTCAGCTAGCGATAGAGGGGGCATTATGTTTGCCCACCACTTTATGCACCGTGTTTGGGTTTTCCCAGCCACCGAATGTTTAATTTGCTCGCTGTTCAAGGATGAGGGAAGCACACTGACTTCTCACTGAGGCCCGTCCTATGTAGGCAGAACTTATGGGGTAATAAATGGACTGTTTGCTCACGCTGCCTCCGAAGGACATATTTGAAGGAAGAGTCTTTCCTGTGTCTGTAAACAAGTCGCTTCAGCCTGAGGTCAGCTGGCTCTGTGCATCTGCCAACACACAAGAGGATTTGACTATTGGCATGTTACATCAAATATCACTTTTGTAGTATTTGCGATGGCCTGCTAAAAGCCAAACTTTGAACACAGTGGCAGATGGCGCACAACTGAAATCACCTTGTAGCTGGGGGTTGGAGGGAGGAGAGAACGGTGTTGTGGGAATCTTTCCAGACTTCTGTTGAGACTTCTTTCCAAAGCAACTTCAGTACACAAACTAAGAGAGAGAGTGCGTTCTGTTTAAAAGCGTTGAAATGTTGCTGCCGCAAAATCTTTCCCAACCCCACTTACCAAATAAATTAATACAGTGTTTTAAGCACTGTTTGTACATTTGTATAGAAGTCTGGGATAACTGTGCTACATGTTTCCACAGCTCTTGGGTTGCTATTGCTCCTAAACCCTAACCGATCCCATCAGCTAATTAAATTAAATTAAATTAAAACTGACCACATGTGTAATTGCCCACCAACAGCAAACAATAAACAAACAAAGGAGACAGAAAAAATGAGGAGTTGCTAAAATGTTGGGTAACAACCGTGTCTTGCAAAATGATGGCAAATTATTCAGAATATTACATTTGGGTGATAAAACATAGATGTAGAGATGATGATCTAACCTTTGTGATTCCCTCTGGAGGACCCCAAACCCCTTTTATAAGAAAACTATCAGCCCCTTGGGAGGAAAGCAGCATATCTTCTGTGCTACTGCTCTGTCCCCTGCTGGCTCCCTCCCCTGTTCCCTGCTGTTTGGCTCTTGGAAGCCCTAAGCTTCTACCCTCACTTCCTGCTGTGAAACAGCTGACAGGCAGCTGCGGGGGCTGGAACTGGCTGCTTCTTGAGAGCAAAAGCTGCTGTGGCTTGGAGAAGGTGTGTGTATGTGGAGAGAGAGTGCTGATCACTTGTTCTAAAGATTGCCTTGCGCTGGAACAGCTGAAGTCCAGTCCTGAAATGCCAATTAATCAGAATGGGTTTTGAAACATTAAACTCAAAAGTTCGCTGAAGACTATAGTAGTAACCGCAGCAATAAAAAATGTTGTTCCAGTCTCAGTCTGTGGTGGAAATCGGGAAATATAAATGCTCCCAAAGGAAAGGAATGACTGGAAGTGTGACAGAGCTCCCACTAAAGAATGAACATACCTGCTACCCTTTTGAGAGATGGAAAAACATGGTATTCTGTTGCCCCATCCCTGGTGCTCAGATTAGAGCCAGTGATGCTTCTGACCATGCAAGGACATGAATGTACACCAATGAGTAAGAGTAGCTGACTTTAAAAAGATTTATAACTAGGGTGACTTCTTACTCCAAGCCCCTATCTCCTGCTTCTGTGTCCCACCTGTCAACTGCTACCATTAATCTCACTTGCAGAAATCAACTAGCAAGATAGACTGCTTTTACCTGTCTGTCTGTTCAGATGGTACCCACTTCATGGTCTCAAAACTTTGCAATGGCTTTTGAGTCTCTTACGTACCAAAACTAAATATATTCTAGGTTTCAGGCCATTTTTTGTTCTAATAGTAACTTCAGATCCTGTTGTCCAGATTTCTTTTTCTTTCCAAGTATCAGTTTAACATCTTTACAGTATGATGAAAAGAGAATTTTCCAAGTTGAATTGCCACGCTAGCATCACGGAAGTCAGTCCCCAAGCGGCGAGGCCTCTGCGCCACGCCGGTTTAGCGCAGGGATTGACCAAATGGGTGGCAGGGTTCGCAAGTTCCGCAGGCTGGATTAACGAGCCCTGTGGTCCATATCCGGCCCCCGAGCTTTAGTTTGCCGACCCCTGCCTAAGAACATTAGAAGAGCCCTGCTGGCTGAAGGGCCATCCAGTCAAAGCGTCCTCTTCTGCCAGTGGCCAACCAGATCTCTATGGGAAGCTCTGAGACAGGAGAAACACACAACAGCACTCTCTCTCCCCATGTGATTCTCAGCATCTAGTATTGAGAGGTATATTGCCCCTGACTTTGGAGGCAGAGCATAGTCATCGTGGTTGATAGTCTTCCATGGAGGTTGAGTCTATCTTGAAACACTATCACCGTGGGTACACCAACAAAGTGGGTTAGAATTCATATGGATCTTACTACTTAAATAATCCTTTGTGTACATTATGGAGCTTCTCTTACCTTATCATTGACACTCTGTGTTTTCCCATGAACCAGAGAAATTAGAACTAATGCTGTCCTTTATTTTTAGCACGTTCTTGTACAAAAACGTAACATTCGTTCTTTCTCTCCTTATTTGCAGTGGCACGCATTGTCCCGTGAAGAACAAGCTAAATATTATGAACTAGCTCGGAAAGAAAGGCAGCTACACATGCAGCTCTACCCAGGCTGGTCTGCAAGGGACAACTACGTAAGCCGATTATTTACACTTTCTTCAGCTCGCAATTTGCAGTAGTTAAAAGTCTAGGTGAGGGTAGCAGCTGGGCCATGAGATGCACCATTGGCCTTGTGTTCACTTTGAATTAAGTACCATTTATTCCCTTGCCTTTCTTTAGATTGCTTCTGCATATCCCAAACTAATCTGGACTTGGCCATGGGTGTGTTCCTGGTCCAGCTTTATGCCATGTGGCAAATAACATCAAAACAGCAATTAAAGGATAGATAGCTTTGCAAACATCTGGAGCACTGATCCACATATGTCCCCCACCTGATAACTCTTTTGATGCATGCTTATCACATGGTTAATAAAAACACAGACAATGAATCTCTTCTGAAGGTGGCTTGTTGGATTTTCCTGGAACTAATCTCAGCTGTATGTTTGTGCTTTGTGTTTAAGGCTTGTTTGTGTGTGGATTTTATTTTATTTTATTAAGTAGGTAGAATGGATGTGAACTAAATTTCACACCTTGATTTGAAAAGAACAGTCATCTTCAGCTGCAGACGTATTATAAATTAATTATTTAAAAAAACTGTTTAGTCAGCGCTGCTTTAAAAAATTATACATATTTAATTATGAAAAAAATTAACAAGCTACACCGCTCATACCAAAACCCAATGATGATACTGTTAATGTCAAACATTTTGCCATTTACTCATTGAAACTTATCTGTCTGTATTAAAAAAAAATTCCATACCCATGATAGCCTAGAAACTATTTGTCTGGGAATTAGCTAAGATTGCGCCTTGATCGCTCCTAAATAAAGAATTCAAAGAGAAGCCTAATCCCAGACCTAGTTCTTACTTTGAAACACACATTCATAAAAAAAAACTTCAATCCTTTGTTTGCTACAGCCGTAATCCAGTATGCCTAGTTAATGATAGGTAAATAGACTTGCCCCTGAGTAAAACTCCATAAAAGAGCCACTGAGCTTCAGAGCACAGAGAATCTCTTTTGCCCAGAACCTACATTCACTTAATAAAACCTTTTGTCTGTTCTTAATTTAAATCTCTTCTGAAAGACTTGTTCTATCTTAATGAATTGTGTTAAAATGGGCGAGAGGAGGGTAGTATTGTAACCATGCAGCTACTAGGAGCTAAGAACATGTGCTGCAGAGTATAGATTGGTTATATTGAGAGTTTATGCTGAAAACATGTAATATCCAGTCCGACCTTTAAAATTGTGATCTCTTTCCATTTGGAAAATGCTTTGCTTTCTGTCAAACACCCAGACAAAAATGTTTTGAGGCAGTAATGAGTATTTGCAAGAGAACAGATTTATATGTTACTCTTTGTTGCAGAAATATATCATTTTGCAGCATTTCAAGTTACCACTCCTTATTACAGTTACATAGAGCTTTTGGCTTACAACTACAGGTCTACAACTTGAATCATGGCTTCAAATGTTGTTTTAGTCTATTACTCATTATAATATATGTAATTGGGGTCCGGTAGCATTTTTCTGAAACAAGTTTCAATGTGTCTACTTCCTGCAAGTATAGTCATCTAGGATATTTTATTCTTTGAAATGACTTCTACTAAAAGAAGTACTCTTCACACTTAAACAACTGAGTAAGGTTTAAAGCACTTTGCAGAGCCTAGATCTCAGTTTTGAGGAGGATCTTTTCACACTACACTGAAACTCCTAAGTTTTTTGTACCTGAACATAGGCAAAACTGTCAGAAGAATAATCCTTGGGGGATCACATAAATATGGAGATACTGAATTTGCTTTGGCTGGAAAACCCCAGATGAATATAATAGTTAAAAATAACATGGAGATAATCAGAAATGGCTTTTGATGTGCTATCACCCTTTCAGAAATGTTAAGTATTTTGAAGGAAGGTGATTATATGATTGTAAAAAGTGTCCCCCCCCCCACTTTTCTGCCTGATATAGGGAAAGAAAAAGAAGAGGAAGAGAGAAAAGCTACAAGAGTCTACTGCAGGTATGCTTTATGAGCAGAGCTTCATATTAAATATGTGTGCTATTTTAAAAATTCAGGACTTCCTTTCATGCTTATTTCTGGTTCTGTATATAGAATTCTTTGCACAAACACTTCTGTATCGAATAGTACATATTCTAATGGATACTACTGCTGTCTTTATTGCCTTTTCCTTCTACACTCAGTGGGGTGTCAAACTGTAGACTTGCTCTCATTTTGAGGGAATGTACGGAATCCAGCTCTGTACTGTGTTTCGACATTTGGAAGGGAAGCGTGGCCTTCCCTTTTCTTGGAGGTCAGTACAGGCAGAAAGCTTGGAGATCACTGATAACACCTGCAAGCGCAGTTTACAATACTTTCCAAGTGCTCTTCGCCAGAGGTCTGCACAGAAAGAAGAAGCACTGTTTGTAGGACATCCAGCCTTCTTTGCTGCTTCTTTGTACAAGCTCATGCTCTGATGGCAATGGCAGCTGAAGATTGTTTGCAGTAGCTGCAGAATTGCCACCACTAGCCCTACACATACAGGCATGGATGTTTTAAAAAGGAAGCAGTGGAGGGCTGTTTCCTTTGTTTCCAATCTGCATCCTGGTCTAGCTTCAACAAGTAGTAGCTGGGAGCCACTACTGGTTGAATCATAGTCCCTACTGACTCTACTGACCTCCAGAAGAAGGGGGGTGGGGAGGGAACAGGCAGCAACAGGTATCTTGGGTCTACACATTCCCGCACTGTGAAGATAACTGGTTGACTGATTTGGTATGGGGATGCTGCACTGTTTCATATATTCTCCTATAGTTCTCTAATGTAATTAAACATTTTTTAAAAAAACAGGAGGAGCTGGTCTTTACAGCTGCCTGGTAGGTTGGCTCAAAGCATCAGTGAGGTCCTTTCACTTTTTTGTATATTAAATAAAACAAAATGGCTGGTATAAGAACCATGAAAGGCAGAGGAAATCAATCGGCAATCAATATCCTAGTAAAATACCTTTTATTTGGAGTGTGCAAAAAATAAAATAAATTCTTCAATGGAAATTTGTTAAAAGCAACAATCTTCTACAGGTGCAGCCCCACGAATGACAGCTGCCTACATCTGAAGCATGGTAAGAATATTTCTAAAGCCTTTCTGCTAAATTTATTATTATTATTATTATTTTAAAAATTGTCTCTCTCACTTTGACTCTTGAACTATATAGCACATGGCTTTTTAAAGTGCTTTCTCCTCAAATGAATGCTCTCACAATTGATGGTTTTTATACCGGCTGTGTATTTTAGCCCCAACTCTTTTTATTATTTAATTTGCATGAACCAAACTGATCATACCTCACTGACTAGCTGCAAGTCTGCCTGTAGGGCACAAAAATGATTTCACAAAGTCAGAGATGGGGAGCTTCTGGCCCTCCAGATGCTGTTGGACTCTGACTCCCATCAGCTCCAGCTAGTGGGGTCATGGGAGTTGGAGTCCAGCATCTTCTGGGGACCCACAGGCTCCCTATCCCTGCATTAAGCAGTTGAACCATTTTGGCTGGCAGTGTACTGCACAAATCCTCATCAGAAGCGAGTTAGAATGGTTTCTAAGCACCCAAATTAATTTGCCATAATCAGTTACAAGTATATTGCAGGCTGGGCAGCAGAAGGGAGCACTGGTTTGACATTGTGATGTTCTGTTATGTTTGAACGTCATAGTTATGAATGCTATAAGGAAGTGGATCTTTATTTAATCTCTTTTGACTCCTATCTCCTATAAATGCATGTGTTAAATGTTGGGTGTGGTAAATACCGCAGTACTTACAAAGGGATTAAAGTTGCAGAGGTTAAGGAAGATATTGAAATTGATGCCAGTAATGGTTATGTGAAGACAGGAGTGCCTGGCGTGCTCTGGTCCATGGGGTCACGAAGAGTCGGACACGACTAAACAAACAAGCAATCGTTATGTAACTAAATGTCTGCTAAAAATGCAAAAGTTAAGTTTGCATTGCCACGATAGGCTTTTCTACTGCTTAGTTTACTAGCAAATGAGCTAATGTGTTGCATGGTGTGTTTGCAGAAATCTAGATATAAATTAGCTTTGATGCTATTGAATTTGGGATATGGTGTTAAGGGTTCAATAACATCACACAGATTTTGTTTCTTTGCCTACCTCTAGAAAGCCCTCTGCTGGCTCATTTGCAAATGGTTGCATTATATCTGCTGCTCAGACTAATTTTATGAAAGAAATGTAATGATGACGGAAACTGTAGCCTATCCTTAAGCAGTTTTGGAGGTTTTGTTTTGTTTCATTTTTTTTAATCCAAGTGAACCTTTCTCTACTTTTTTCTGTGGTGGATTTGGAACTTAATGATCCTACAGCAGTTCATCTCACATTTTTCACTGAAAGTTTGGATAATACAGAACAGGCTTCCTCAGACTCAGCCCTCCAGATGTTTTGAGACTACAATTCCCATCATCCCTGATCACTGGTCCTACTAACTAGGGATCATGGGAATTGGAGGGCCAAGTTAGAGGAAGCCTGATATAGAATGTAGTCACACCAATTCCATGCATAGAAATCGCAAAACATGAGGTTGGAGTGAGTGATGGAATGAACGAATGAATAAAAGTCTTGTGTCTCAAGTTAAAGGCATGTCGTCTGGATCAGTTATCTTGAATACTTGGAACATCACATTTTCCCACCAAGCTATTGCTTTTGGGAGAATTAGATATCCTTAAATAGATAGGCTTCTCTGAGGATTCAATACAACAGATGACCGAAACACTGCTCATTTTTTTGTGCTATAAATTGATCATCTAAAAAGCCTTGTGAGTTTAGGAACCAAATGAGACTCTAGCCGAAAGCATCCAGTGCTCAGGAAGGAAGGCATTAAATATCCTGGATAGCTCCTATGAGCTCCTTTCACTTGTCTTCCTGACCTGGTTGGGCTGCCAACACAACTCTCCTTACCCTTTCCTTCATTTCCTAGTGCTGTCCCTCTTCTTAATCCACACTCCTCTAAATCCCCAAATCTCTTGTGCAAAAAAAGTAGATATATGCAAATTGGCTTAATTTTCATAATCCTGTTGATAGAATTTGGGGGGGGGGTTGGCATTGTGTACACACAGCTGCTGCTATAGCTTGCCCTAAGCAGAGAGCAGGACCAAGAAGTATCCATCATAGGAAATGGGCTTCCAGCAAAACAAATGCAAATGATAAAAGCTTCCAACACACACGGCTGAATGTGACTTATTATGGCGGAAAGCCTCTAACATGGCCATTACTTAATAATTTCTCAGGGTGGTTTCACACTTGCCCCCCAAGTCCAGCTGTTGCATAATGTGATATACTTTAGTCATTGGAGTTTTATTAAGCTGTTTGTGGTGTGTGTTTGTTTGTCTGTTTGTTTGCTGTTTTATGACCTGTAGTTACTAATATGACTTTAAATTATTAGTTACAAATATAAATAACTATTAGGAGGGAAAATGAAAATAAAACTGCCAGTTTTTTCATTATCCAGTTTTATGGCATGGGCACATTTTTAGCACTGTGTACAGTTCTGCTGACCTTGTCTCAGAAAAGGGTAGTATTTTATTTTCATTTATTTTAAAACATCTGCATTGTGAAAACAAGAGAAATGTAGTTCCCATAGAATCCAAGAGAATCCAGTACAAGTAGTCAGTTGGTGTAAACCACCCAGGAACACTTGGGTAAACAAAAAGGTTTACAGCATGTGCCAAAAACACAAAATAGTTTCTGCATACCTTAATTTCTGGAGGTTGTTTAACATGATAGGTGCTAGTAAAGGCCCTACTCTGATTGGCTGCTAAGTGGACATGTGACACCATGGGGGGGGGCTTACCTAATGACCTTAGTGACTGAGGAAATCCCTATTCTAAAGTTGGGAATGGTGAAGAAAAAGTCAACCAAAATGATCATGGCTTGAATGTCTTTCCGATAAGGAAAGGCTAAAGTATTTGGCACCTCTTAAACTGATGACTTCAACTGAGACTAGCAGCAACTGAGACTAGCAGCACAATCCTATGCATGTTTACTCAGAAGTAAATCTCACTGTGTCCTATAGGGCTTATTTGCACCGAGTATGTATAGGATTGCAGCCTGCTGAGGAGGGCATGATAGAGGTTGATATCATAAAACACCTAGATTTTTAGACAATATTTTCAGTGAGTGCAGTAATCATGGTGCCCTCTGGCTACTTCAAGCATCTTGAAAATGACAGGCCACTTTGTAAAAATATGCCCTCCCATCAGATGTTGTAGTAGTATGCCATGATTGAACTATTGCATGGATTATTATTGTCTAAAGAAATGTAATCCAATCTGCATTTCCATGTTCTGATTTGAACACTGGCACAGGAGTTGAGAACCAAGGAGGTTTGCTTCAAACTGTGGAATGAACCAAATTTATCCCATATCCCTAGTTCTTTAGAGGAAAAACTTAACTGCTAAGCAAAATTTCTCCAGCTGATATGAGACTATATACTAAGTTATCCAGACAACATAGAGTAGTAGAGAAATTATGTGGTTTAAGTATTTCCTTGCTAATTACTATTGCTTTGAAATGTCTAAGGATATATAATAGAAAATGAAAAAGCCCATGTGCTAAATGGTGGGAATATTTAAACATGTCTGGTTAGCCATGCCTTCAGTTGTGCAGCTCATAATGTCTTGCCGCAACACATATAGCTTCCCTAAACACTGAAATGTGTGTGTGTGTGTGTTTTGCTTTTACAGTGGTACCTCGGGTTAAGAACTTAATTCATTCTGGAGGTCTGTTCTTAACCTGAAACTGTTCTTAACCTGGGGTACACTTTAGCTAATGGGGCCTCCTGCTGCCACCACGCCGCCACCACTCAATTTCTGTTCTCATCCTGAAGCAAAGTTCTTAATCCGAGGTACTATTTCTGGGTTAGCGGAGTCTATAAACTGAAGCGTCTGTAGCCGGAGGTACCTCTGTATTGAAATAAAAATAATTAAGTAGCCCAATTGGTAAAAATTGGGTGATTATATTCATCTTGCATTCTCCTTTTAGAGTATGCCTTTTTTATCCTGTTTGCATTTCCTAATACTTATCAGCAGTAGCTTTCATTGTAAGTATGGATTTCAACTATGTGTAAGGGGGGGGGGGGAATCAGTCCTGACAAGTTCTCTAGAAAGCTACAGTATTGTATTTTTCCAGAGCTGGGTGTGCTGTATCTTTACCTAGAAAACATGGCTCTTCCTTACCAGCTAGTATATACCCTAATTCCACTTTGTACTTGCGCAGGTGCCTTGATGGCCACCTATTGGCTGTTGTCTGTGATGTCTCCTCCCTTTCCTGTCTCTTTCCACATGTGAATTCACAGCAGAATTAACACTTCAGCTACACTTGAAGAAGTGTGCATGCACATGAAAGCTCATACCAATAACAAACTTAGTTAGTCTCTAAGGTGCTACTGGAAGGTAGCCAACACGGCTACCTACCTGTAACTTCATTAATGATTATATATATATGTTCTCATCCCCATGTACGATGCCCTCAATGACAATGGTTATTATTACTGTTCTGGTAAAGTAAGGCAAACGGAAAAAAAATTCAAGCCAAAATAGTGCAGTAATCTTTATCTACGTAAAGACCTATAAGGCAGGTTCATATAATACTCTCTTAACAAAGGAAGGCAAGCACTCTGCTCTCCTTCCTTTATGTTTTCCCAGCGGCCACACACCCCTCTTCCTCTTTGACCCGCTACTTGCTAGCTGCTCTTAGCAGAAACCGCTGTCTTTATTGGCTGAAAGTGTCTCCCTGCCCCTGCTGTGCGGCTGTGATTTTTCCTAAGCCGTTTCAAAGAGGAGACCAAGCCCATTTGTCTAATTAGGGAAAATTAGTCTGCCAGAGAGAACAAGACAGCCAGCCAGCTAAGAGTACAGTACTGAGCAAAGCCTCCCATCAAGACCATTTTGAAGATAACACCATGTTGTACTTTGATTTAGGCCCAGATTGCATATTACTTTTTCTCACACAAAGTGAAATTTAAGCACATTGTTGCTGTCCTTCTATGGCAAATACATTTGATTGAAAAGCACTCTCTAGTGGCAAGAAGCTGGAATCATCAGCCCCATTGTGATAAATTTG